ATAGCGACTCTAGTTCACTCGACTCCATTTCGTTCACATTAACATCCTTGAGCCACTTCTTGAGGTACTCGACCCGATGGTTCGCTTCGAGAATTGTGCGGAGGGTCTCGGTTTGGACGGTGCCAGCTCGCTCGGCCACATCGTCGAACCAGTCGATGATGTCGCCACATTCTCCGCCACTTGGGAAAGTAGTCATTCTTGATTGTGAGGCTTAGGGAGATTGATTTTTGCAAAAAAATTATCTCAAAAGAAAAAAGGAAAGAGATATAGTTATGTCTTCAACTTTGAGTGATGCTAATTTATTAGATTGTACGTGCAATGTTCTATTTCTGTTTACCTTTGCATATATAGGCATAGAGCCAAACACAAAGGGAGCCCACTTGATTTAATGCATTGAAGATTTGTGATTATGCATTAAGAGAGATGAACTCCATCTCCATGAGAAGGTTAAAAAAGGGTAAGACGAAAAAAATTCCCAACAATGATTGTGATTGTGGAATTAAGAAAATATATAAAAAAAAAAATGGTCAATTTATTTTTCTTTATTGAGCTTTTGCACGGACAATTTGTATGCCACAATTTTGGAGGTTATCTATCTATATATCTTTTATCATCATCATCATCATTATCATAATTATAGTGCTTTTTCTATTAGTGAAGTTTCTAGAAAAAAATATATCAAACGACGCAACGCACCTTGGGTCGCTATGGAAATAGCCTCCTTGTATAATTACAAGGGTAGGGTCTGCGTACAACTGACCCTCCAGACCCCAACTTGTTGGGACTGGATATGTTGATGTTGATGTTGATGTTGATGTTGATGTTGATCATCATTATCATAATTATCATTATAGATACGTTCTTAGGCAATCTGAACAAATAACAACCATATGTTTTCGACAAATACATGTATTTTTAAATAGAAATACCATAATACTTTAGAATATATACTAACATAATACTTATATTTCATAACATAAGTATGAAGTTTTGTTCCAAACTTATGACGGATCGACTTACTTAACACAGATGTGGTCATCAGGCTCGATTTAGTCGATCGATGGTACTGGTACTCATACGGTTGTGCACCAATACCGTCCCGGATTATGGAGGTTCCGGTGCAAAAGAACCCATTAGTTCTACAGAAACCGGTGGGTCCAAATGAATCTCGATCATTAATCTTGCAATAGTTGTAGGATTTTTAAACTGTAGTCAGTTCAAGCCACATATTCCCGCTCAAACGAGCGAATGAATAAAGAAAAGTAGAATTTAGAATTTTGAAATTTAAATTTTCGACACGAAACCCAACAGGTCGGGCCAAAACCAGGGGTCAAAAACAAAATATTTTGTTGCCTTGTACGGGAAATTGGTTAATGAGCTTGTCGACTAGTCAACGGGTCTACTATGCTAGGTTAGAGCGTGCTTGGATACAAATATATACGTCCAAAACGAGTTTTTTCAGTTAACCAGGGTTAATTTTGAAAAATGTGATATGATTAATTCTTAATGGAATTTTGAATTTATATTAAAATAAAATTTAAAATAAAATAATTAAAATTAGTTTGATGTAAAAGTATAAGAGAGATGATGTGAGGTGATGATTGATTAAAATTATGCGAGTTGATGAATATGAATTAAAATTGATGTGATGTGTAAGATTAATTGGTTGATATATATTATTGATAATATTGAGGATAGCGGGGTTGAATTTAAATTGATCTAGATTTTGAGTATGAATTAAAAAATTGATAAAGAAACACCCTCTGGGCAAACCCAATTTGGTGGCTATGTCTACCTAAAGGTTAAACCGACTAACAAAAGAATTCGTATTGGTGGTGAAAGAGATGTAAGAAAGTCATTCTAGTATAATATTCCATATCACGTATATTATTGTTATTATTTTGTTGCATGTAATGTTGTTAAGCTCTTAATTTGATATATAATTCAATGAGGGTTACAAGGTATATATACAAGCCAAAAGACATGTAAGAAAGGAAAACAATCAAAGAAACTAATCCACGGGATTTACCATATCACCTAATTGATACAAACTAATCTATACCACATTTACAATATCCCCCTATAGTTGGAGCATATATATCAATTATGCTTAACTTATTACAAATATTACTCATTCTTACACCATTTACTGCTTTTGTAGATATATTTTCCAACTGATCCTCAGACTTGACATATCTTGGAGTGACGAAACCTTTTTCGACCTTATCACAAACAAGTGACAATCTATCTCGATGTGTTTGGCCCGTTCATGAAATATGAGATTTGATGCAATGTGGTTTGCTGCTTGGTTGTAACACCAAAGTGTTGCTGAAAGAGAAAATTCTAATTCAAGCTCCTTTAGTAATTGATGTATCCATACAACCTCACATACTGAATCAACCATCTACCTCTACTCTGCCTCAACAACTGAACTAGAGACAACATTTTGCTTCTTGCTTCTCCACGTAACTAAATTGCATCCCACAAATATACAACATCTGAAAGTCAATCTTCTATCATCTTTGTCGGCATCATAGTATGCTTCCACTGCCTCCTTTTGATAGCTTTGTCGACTTTCTATTCATTTAGTAGCGAGACATATACCAAAAATTATCTATTTAAGAAGTTGAAAACTATTCTTTGATTTTATTAATAACTGCACCAACCAATTTTATAAAAATTCATATTGTGATTCACAATATCATGATAACGAATCTCATATAAACTAATATATTAGACCGATAGTTTAATATTATGATATATATTATTATAAGTTTGATTTTGAAAACAATGGGTAAATCACGATTCTTGTTATTTGTATATTCAAATTATAATACAATCATAATATTTTTTATCGTGCATCACACAAACCACGTACCAGTTATTAATAACATTAACTTAATTTAAATAGGTAAAGGGAGAGGGGGATCATTATCAATGCCACCTTTTCATTTAGTACAAAAAATATAAATGCAAAAATTTAATTGCTCTCAAAATTTTTTTCTTCCAATGAAAATGTGAAAAGTATAACATTTTTTCACATGATTAACACATGTGGGTCAATATCAAACAACTTTTCTACCTTTTCTTTTCTTTTCTTTTTTTTTTCAATGAAAAACTGTGAAAAGTAGAACAAATTTTTCACATGGTTATTTAAAACGACAAATCTTCTTCGCAAAACGACGCCTACAAAAAGTGTCAACTATACTGTTTAAATGGCCATGTTTTTTTTTTT